AATGAACTTCTCGGTTAACAATATTGATAGATAGATAGATAAACCTTTATTAACTTATACCGCTCAGGGTAGCCCCATCAGAAAAAGCAATCTGTTATCAATGGGAGCCCTGAGCATAATATATTTTTATCGTTCATCAGAAATAATTGACTGCAAACCCTAAACGTCAAATTATCTTTTCTGAGTGTTTCAAAATTTCAAACAAACGTAAAAACGCTTCGAAAGGAATAGTTATGAGGTTATGAACGACAAAGTGATCTATATGTCATGAAAGAACGGAGCATTAATACTGATATCGATCCACACTACTCCCGCTTGTTCATCATTATCATCTTTCGTCTTTCTCTAAAATTTTGCCTTCATGTTTAGCTAAAAAACCCTGAAAAGCTGCTTTGTACCTTTTTGGTAAAGTTATCTCGACTACAAATATTAAGTGCTTTCAATTTAGGCAGAAATGGCTGGTCAGTCCACTCTATTTAGGTACATAATGCTTTTTGTCAACATTTTTCAGTCATTTCGAGGTTTTCTGTAGAATAATGGATAGAATTTGAAAATTTGAATTTCCTAACTAAATGGGGATGATATAATAATGACATTTTCTCTGTGTCTGGCCAGCCAGTTATGACTCCACTGCACGTTGGTCTTCCATGGCGTAGAGACAAAGACAAAATGAGTGCTCTATTGACCTGATTTATAGCGTGTTACATTACGAAATGACTAACCCTCACTAGAGCAGATTTCGTATGAGTGGGAAATGGACGGTACTGTACTAAATTGACCGTAAACGTATTGTAACCAAATTCTAGTGTGTCATTGCTTCACAAAAATTGTGCGGGCCAGGTCTGGTAACTGTGCGGTAACCGTGTAGTAATTTCTACCGTACGTTTCCCACTCATACGAAATTGACTCTATGTATCTAACTCAATTATTACGGCAAATTAAACAGTTGCGCCGTGTGCGCCTGACACACAAAATAATCTGAGCTCTATAATCTCTATTGGCCTGATTTACAGTGCGTTACATTGCCAAATGAGTAACACTCTATCTAAATCAATCAATCGATAAAAATCGATATTATTTTTTTGTGTAGTTCAATTTTCATCGATTTTTAGTTACAATTGCTATCATCAAAAATCTGCTGGCTTTGATTTTTATCAATTTATCAATTGGGGGAAATTAATTCGATTTTTATCGATTGACTACTCCGGGTGTTATGAAGTATAAGCTTATCGGTTGTATTAGTACCTGTAACCTGAATTGTTTTTCAATATAGGTTTTTACGAAAGAAAAGAATCAAGGGAAAAAGGAAAACAGTTYGTCRAAACATAAGTTGAAGCGAAAAGGATTATCTGACAAGACAGCAGGCCCACTATCGACTGCCCTAGATAGTTCAAAGATGTAAGAAGAAACTTAACTTAAATCATCAAATCAATCTTATAAAACTTAATACTTTTCGCCATAAGCATTGAAGGAGTAAATGGTGAAACTAAAAGTGTAGGGTTTTTGGAGTTCACAAAAAGGCCCCATAACACTGATAGACAACAGCAGTCCATCCCTTATTGCTTTTGTAAAATTTGAATGATGGCTTCAGTCTGTTAACAAATGTACAGTTACTGAAGTTATAATATGGTTGAATAGAATTGTTCAATTTTGATTGGCTTAGAGAAGTAGTATTTATCCTTATCCTTAACAGTGGTATTTCAAATTGCTCAATTTTATTCAACCATATTATAAATGTTGTAGTTCAGGTTCAATATGATTTTGAACCAGTTCAATTTCTTCTGAACTGGTTCAGTCTGAACTGGTTCAGTTTATTTTGAGCCAGTCCAATATAACTCAATCCAGTACAAATCAGTTTAGGGTTAGGTTTAGAGTTAGGTTTAGGATTAGGTTTAGGGTTGGGAATAGGGTTGAGCCAGCATTATATAAAAATTTTCTTCATTAATAAATTACAATTAAGATAAAAACAATTTGCAAACATTACTACCAACTAAAT